GATCTTGATGTCACCTTAGCCGCAAACTTAATTCTCCTGGCAAACGATGTATCACCGAATCCCAGGCCAGCTTTTGCCCCCCCTTACAGTACTAAAGGCTTAAGAATTTATCATCTAAATATGCACAGTTTACGAAACAAACTGGATGAATTACGCCTATTTTTTAATGAGGATGAACCCTACGTTCTTTCTTTAAACGAAACATGACTTGACGATAATATCCCAGATGAACAACAATACCTTCCGGACTACAACATAATTAGAAGAGATACGATGAATAAATGAAGTTCATATATTTTGAACTGCGGTTATAGATACTTATGATGCACGATCCTCGCAGTAGAGAGCGCTATTTATGCAATAGCGAAAATCAGACCTGAAATTTTTTTTTTTCTTAGAAGAGATAGATTGTTTTGGAGGCGACTTGGCGGTTTATATTTCCCACCATCTACCGTTTATCTCATAGATGATGAAACTAGTTCAAATATTGAAGCGCTTTGATTTGAACTTACACCTACAACAAACAAAAAAATCTTGTTCGGCAGCCCATACAGGCCACAAAGTTCGGATGCTTCTGTTTTCTTTGGTGAAATTGAATCGATGTTAACGAACTATTCAAAGGACAACAATGAAGTTACTCTTTTGGGGACTTAAATTGACATGGCTTTGAATTCATCTGGCCATCACCCGAAAGCAAAGAACTTCTTACTTATCACCAGTACCTTCCATTTGACACAAATCATTAATTACTGAATGCACGAGAATCACTGAACATTCCAGAACTATAATTGACTTATTCTTCACTACAAGGCCCGAACTTTATCACTCCTGTGTAATTTCGGTTGGTGTTTCCGATCACCGCGCCATTTTTTGGAATTAGAACGCTTCACAAAATAAAACTCTCTCCACCAAAGACAGTTAAGGTGAGAAACCATATACATAATGATCTTGAAACTTTCAGAGTAGTCTTGAGTCGTGTTCCTTAGGATGTTGTTGAATTTGGGTAAAATCCAGGTGATGCGTGGAATCCTTTTAAGAATTTTTTTATGTCAGTAGCTGACACTTGAATGCGCCAGTTGTCACCCGTCGTGTGCGCGGGAGATCGTTACCATGAATCACACCCACTGTAAAAGATTTGTTGAAAAGGCGCGATTATCATCACACGAAAGCTATTCATACTAGCAATGAGTCTCATTGGAGCATTTACAGAAGGCTGCGAAATATTGTGTCCATGAAACTTCGTAAAGAAAAAGCAAACTATTATTCAAACCAGTTGAGTGAAAAACAAGACTCGCAGGAATTGTGAACTTTAAATGCGCTTTTACAAAACAAAAAAACAACTATTTTTTAATCAAGAACAAGGAACGATGAGAATAATTATCAGCCGATCTCAGTCCTTCCCAAAGTATCAAAGATCTTAGAGGGTGCTATTCAGGTTCAATTCTTAGCTTTTTTAACTGTACATCCACCGATCAGGTTTCCCCGAGGAACACTCCAGTGAAACTGCAGACTGACGTTTATCTCACCGATCTTAATTTGGATCACATGGATAGACAAATGGTTACTAGCGCTGTGTTAAATGAATTGAAAAAAGCTTTTGATTTAGTATACCGTGAATGTTCACTCTACAAGCTAGAACACTACAGAGTCAGAGGAAGCACTCTCGATTGGTTCCGGGACTATCTTACGACACGAACACAAAGGGTACATTTTAGAGAGGACTTGTTCTCCAACCAAGCCATCCAATTTGATGTTCCGCAAGGCTCAATTCTAGGGTCTCTTCATTTTGTTTATACCTAAATGACCTGCCCCACTGCTCAGAAAACTGTTTCAGTAATATGTATGCGGATGACACTGTGGTACACTCTATGAGTCCTTGCACTTTGGAGATAAATAAGGTAGTACAGGATAATTTAAATCGAGTAGCTGAATGGATGGAAAGTAACAAGCTTATCTTAAATCAGAGTAAGTCGACAAAATCTAGCCATATCGCCTAAGTTTTGTATTCCACAACACGGAAAGATCTTAGAAAGGGTAGCCAGATTTAACTATTTGGGTGTGGTATTGGACAAAACACTTTCTTTGAATGATCACATGGAGTATGTGAGTAGCAAGGTTAGTAGTCAGCTTGGGCTTCTGACTCGTTTACGATCATGTCTCACACTGGAAGCCCCTAAAAAGGTATATACTTCACTCGGGCAACTGTGATTTGACTATGCCGATGTCGCCTAGGGGGAAATCTCAGAAGGGATGTTGCAAAGAGCTTCAGCGCTTACAAAACCGTACAGCTCGAATTATTCTTCGGAGGAAAACTTCAAAAGACACTCTCCACGTTCTTAACTGATTAAGTTTAGCCTGTAGAAGGAAACTGGACACATGTATTTTAGTTTTTAAGTGCTTAAATATTTTGGTTCCAAAATATCTTACTCAGTTTTTAGCAAGGAATAGTGCTTTTCATAATCATGCGACTCGAAGAAGAAACGACCTGCCCCAAGAGAACTTTAAAGTATGCAGGAACAATCTATTTTAACGCATTACCCGCTTATGTCAAGAGTGCCCCCTCCTTGAGTAATTTTAAAAGTTTGATGATTAAACATTTTTATTTGTAATTTTTATCCTCTAGAAATCTATAAACATTTTATCTCTTTTTATATT